CGCCTTCCTTAATGGGATTTTGGAAGAAACTGTGTATATGACACAACATGAAGATTTTGTTGAAGCAAAGAATGCTGGGAAAGTATGCAAGCTAAAGAAGTCAATTTATGGATTAAAGCAGGCAAGTAGAAGTTGGAATCTGCGATTTGATAAAGCCATTAGCATGTTTTGTTTTATCAAAAATCCAGATGAATCTTGTGTTTATAAGAAGGTCAGTGGGAGTGACATCGCATTCCTTATCTTATATGTCGATGACATATTGCTCATTGGAAACAACATTCCAATGTTAGAGTTTGAAAAGACTTGGCTTGGAAAGTGTTTCTCAATGAAGAACTTGGGAAAGGCACAATAAATATTGGGCATCAAGATCTATCATGATAGATCTAAAAGGATGATTGGATTGAGCCAAATTACTTATATTGATAAGTTACTAGAACATTTCAACATGGAAGGGTCCAAGAGAGGGCACCGACCCATGTCACATGGTATAACTTTCAGCAAGAAGTAGTGTCCACAGACACCTGATGAGTGAGATAGGATGAATCAGATCCCATATGCTTCTCTTATTAGATCAATCATGTATGCCATAATATGTACTAGGCCGGATGTATCGTATGCCTTGAGTGTTACGAGCCAATACCAATCAGACCCGGGAGTGGTGCATTGGATTGCGGCCAAGAATATCCTAAAGTACCTGAAAAGGAACAAGGATAAATTTCTTGTCTATGGTGGAAGTAACTATTTTGTTGTTGAAGGTTATAACGACACAAGCTTCCAGGCTGACAGAGATGACTCCACGTCGCAGTTAGGGTACATATTTTGTCTAAATGAAGGGGTGTTTAGTTGGAAGAGTGCTAAGAAAAGCACAACTAAATATTCTACAACTAAAGTCAAATACTTGGCAGTTTCAAAAGCAACTAAGGAGGCAGTTTGGATTCGTAAGTTCATTGGTGAACTTGATGTTGTACCCTCAATCAAGGGTCCGATAAACCTCTATTGTGATAACAATGGAGCTATTGTTCAGGCTAGGGAGCCAAGGGAACATCAGAAGGTCAAACATGTCAAGAGGCGATTTCACATGATAAGAGAATGGAAGTCCGAGGGTGAAATAAGAATTTGTAAGATTGGAACGGACGACAATGTAGCTGATCCCCTCACTTAACCTTTGCCCAAAGTGAAACGCAACATGCACGTTGAAGTAATGGGAATCAAGCACGTTAGAGATTGGCTTTAATTTCCCTGTTCATGTGTTTTAATTAAATTTGAGGATTTTAATGTAAAACACCATGTTGAACCATTCATTTTCGGAGTAATTTAATTTTAGGCAAAATTATTATCACTCCATTTCTATTTAATTATGGTTTAGAATTAAATAATAAGTCCATTCGATTTAAGAGAATATTCAAAACAGGGTATCAAGACAATGTCTTGGATAAAGAAACACCTATTAAGTGAACATTCAATATTTTAATTGAAAATTATCCCTAATCAAGGTCATTTAAATCATGGACGATTAATGACCACTTGAGATTAGTGTGTAGAATGATTTATAGCACCGTTTCTTGTATTACAGGGACATGATTGTCATAAATCATTTGCACAGGTATTTGTTTGGAACTATACCAGATCGACCTATGAGAATTGTTTAAGAAATTTTAAATCGTCATAAGTATATTTCTCATTATAGCTATCGGAACCTCTTTCCTCGACCATGAGTATTGTAACTTCTCTTGTTTGAGTACTAGTCCGTTTTGATGTTGTCAAACGTCTGCCGTAAATTGGGATTATAACGGCAACACTCGGGTGGCTAGGTCCTCTTAGTAAGGGAAGTTAACAATACAAGACTGGGAATGTCCCCTTATTAACAATAGGGAACATGTCTTTTTTGTTTCCAACGCCTCTCGAAGAGCAAGACTGTGAAAATGCATGGTCGTGCTCAGATGGATTTTAAAAATCATCTTCTTATTGACAGTAGAACTCGGAAATCGAGAAACGCTTCTGGAAGTAATAAGGATGACTAAGAATCTTACCTTATAGTTCATGAAGAGACATTAAGTGACATATGAAATGGGCTATACACTAACAGCGCACTTTTCCATAAGGACAAGTGGGAGATTGAAAGAAATGGTGTCCTTCGAATAAGTGTATTATTTCGATAGAGGTTTCCGAATTATTAGAAAGCTAATTATTCATTGAGGTCAAGTGATCGGAATGCCTAGCTAGAGGCCACTTCCGATCGGTAATAATAATGTATAATTAATATTATAGCTTAATCTTGACTCAACCCTTCGAGTCACACCCCTATCGAGTGACCGAACCGAAATGACGAATTAATCCTAAGGATTAAATGAGTCATTAGAGTATTACGAACAAAGACGTCGGATATTGAGCGTAGAGCGTCGAAACCGAGCGTCGTAAGTCGAGTTTAATTTAGAATTCAATGAGAAGAGAAATCAAGCGAACGACAAGTTTAAGCTAAGTTGTAACTTCACATTGACCTAGCCATGCAAATGCTAGGCTATCATAGGCGATCAACCGCATCGCATGGATGTGCCACAAACCAAGCATGCATGTGCGTGCTAGGCTTGCTGGCCGAGTATGCTTGCGGGGCTGGTGCACCTAGTCACACACATGCCAGCAGCTGGTGCGCCATGCGTGCTAGCGTGCTAGTGTGCTAGGCCTCGCACCCAGCCGCAAGCATAACAACAGCTAGGCTGCCCCTAGCACGAGCATCGCATCAGCATCAGCGGCACGCTATCCGTGGGTGTGCTATGAGCTATCCGTGCTTGCATGCAGGGTACCGCGTAGCAAAAGCATAAGCAACGCAGCAGTAGCAGCAGCATTAGCAGCCCGCATGGTGTGCATGGCCTGCTTGCTGTGCGTAGGCATATGCGGGTTGGCTGGTAGGCCCAGCCATGATGCTAAGCACCAACGAGGATGCCTTGTGGAGCCCTGTTTTTTGGTGCGTTGCTTGGGGAGCAAGGGGAGGATGGTCCCCCCCTCCCCTTGTAGTCCTCACCGAACCCCTTGCTCACCACTTAACACTTGGCGTTTGTTGATTCACTTGCATCTCAATTTGATGTTTGAATTAAAATAAATTGAATAAAGTGCATTTTACCAACTCTTCCACATTGATAGGAGATTGGAATTCAAGGGCTCCGTTCCCTATAAATACCAATTCTTTGGCATTGGGAAGGGACACTTGAGTTGTGAAATTTAAGGGATCTCCAAGAAGAGAATACCTTAATTCTAATACTCTATGTTTTCTTGGTCTATCCCCGACTAAGCTTCAGGGTAGGGGCCGTTTAGGTCGGGTCTCGAGGGTGAGAGCCGTTGGAGGCTTGCGCATTTGCGGAGCTTTACACTTTCAAGTACGAGCTCTTAGAAAAAGTGAAGCACGCGTCAAGGGTAAGATCGTCTTTTCTTCTTTCTCTCTCCTTGTTAATTAATTATGTGATTGTTAATTAATTAATATGCATGTTTAGTCACTTTAATTTGTGTGCGGATTTTGGAAGGGTTTCATTTCGCGTAGTGTCAGACATTACAAAACCCAACAGGTTTTGGGCTTGCTTACTAATCTATATATATTATGATTATGTATAGTTTAGGTGCCTAGGGTAGAAAATGAAGTTGTTCAACAAAAAACCCTAAGCTAAAAAATTAGCAAACAAGAAATCAACTTCCTCGCTCTCTTTCTCTCACTGGTCCGACCGTGCGTGTGAGTATGATGGTTCGTGTAATGGTTGGTTGTCTTTGGAAGGTGTTGATCGCGATGGTTCAACTAACCTCTCTCACTCTACCAATCTATCTAGTATTGGTGGACGTTCATTTGAAGGTCGTGTGCCGAGTAGAGAAGAAACACTTGGAGCTCTATTTCACCTTATTTTCAGAGCTAACCGTAACCTTTTCACGTTTTAAAGGTATTAGTATGTGATTCTTATGTGTTATGCATGTTGATCTAAAATTAGGTGCGGAGAATAAGATTCGTGAAATTCCACAATATAGTACATAGATCCCTACACTTACTACCCTCATGTTTTTTGGAATCATGTATTTTGTTTGTTTATTTATCGTATTATTTTGTTTGAAATTGGTTTAGCTAGCTTATTTTGTAAGATTATTTTGTAAACTATAATGTAAAAAACATACCAAAAATAAGGGTAAAATTATGAAATGTTGAAAATAATGTTGTAATCTGATCCATGCAGACCATTTGACGGGTCATTCTAGGTACATACCCAGCATGTATAAGCAGCATACATACCAAATTATGCTTTATGTGAAACTTTAAATTTCAATAGTATATTTTGTGTGCCATCAATAAAATAATACTAAAACAAACACTAGGAATGATACATGTCAATTCTTGGTAAATATATTCCCTCCAAAACTTTTTTTTCTTTTATTTTTAAACTTTTTAGGAAAGCAAAGTTTGTTATGTTTTGCTAGATTCAATTATTTTTATTGTTACCTATGATTCAAGATTTGAATTTATTCTTTTTTTTTTCCAAATTTTAATAAATTTATTCAATACTATATTAGAAATCTTAAATTTTTTCCAGTCGTTATGCTAGAGAACATTTTTTTTTGCGCACACGAGGAGCTGATCCCCAGTGTTTTCATAGCTAACTTTTAATGCAATTGTTATTATATTTAGTTAATCTTATATGTAGTTCTTTTGTATAATGTCAATATTCTTTCAATAATCAAAGGGAAAAAACAGCTAATATTTTTTAAAACAATATATCAAAATATGTCAATATTCTTTTAGCTACCAATATTGGTGATAATTTGAGGTTATTCAAACTTTCTTTTTTTTACATGGGTTGGATTGTGACAGTGACACAGACTATTTATTATCACCTCCAATGGATATACATATCTATTAACTAATACTAAAACAAAACATAGTGACAACATCCCTTCCCCAAATTGTATACATATCACACTCACATGAAGTTTTTTTTATTTTTCCCCCCAATTTTTTACGATGATGTCATTAGTTTTATTTTTTATTTTATTCTTTTAACAATTACCTTTGTTTCTTTTATCTAATAAACCTTTTAAATGCGACCCTTTGTCCCAACCGAATCCTTTTTTATAATAGGTATGTTAATATTTTAATGTTTAAAAGTGTTCATTTTGATTTTTTATTTTTTTTTTTGTATATTTTACAAGTAATATGCTACCATAAAAACCATGTATACAAAAAAATATAAGGAGTAGGGGTTTTTGAGAATATCTCGGGTTGCAGGTCGTGAATATGTAGAGACAGCCGGAGACATCTGCCAGACAACGAATATTCCGATGACGAAATATTCGCCTCCGACGGTTAAGTTAGTAACTGAAAAACAAAAGATATTTAGAGAGTGAAAGTAGAAAGAAGTTAGAGCACTTTGTATATGCCTTTTTATGATATCTCAATCTAGCTATCTAATCATTAGGGTGGGAATGTGTGCATTCTAAGGTTTGGTACCCCATTCAGGTAAGGACAGGTGTCCTTTGGGGGCGCCGTTTTAGTGCTTTTCTCGGGAATTAGGCCTCCTAATGTAATGGATTAATGAAGGCCTTTTTCCTATTCAGGTACTCTCATATTGCCACTTGTCATCTCCCTATTAGGACACGTGTTTCCCTTTTATTAGTCCACGTGTCACCATAGGATTGGAACATGTGGTAGGTATATATTTACCCTAAACATTTTTCCGGTAAAGGGGGGTTGGCTGAAACCATTTGGGCTGCCTCTTCTGAAATTTCATTCGTACACTAATGTTGGACGGCACTCCAATTGATCCCCTAGTCCCCATGAATCCGGATGATACGGACGTGGACTTCAGTGGGAGCACCTACTCGATAATGGAGGTAATTGGCTATTCGATTTTATATGATTTAATTGGAGATTACAGCTTGATTGAAGAACATGTTGAGAACATAAAGGTTTTGAGATTTTTAAGTGTGGGAAGTGATTGGGTTAATGAAGTATAATAAAGTTTTGGTCTTGATTAATGGATGTTACAGAAGGTGAGTTTTGAAATTTATGTTTTGAAATTTAACTGCAAGAAACGCTTTTAGCTTCTTGTTGTGTTGTTTGGGTGTAGAATTAAGAGTTGTTGGAGAAGAATTATTTATATGGGCTGGGGAGTGGCTGTCTATTTATCCTTATTTATATGGTTCTATACTTTAACTTTATACTTATATGTCTTAGTAACAAACTAGCAATAATTATTTAGATTGATCTATCTAATTCAACATTTAACTTCAATTTCCTTTTGAAAAGAAAAACACTCGAGATATTTCAAGTTTTTTTTTACTAAAAAAGTGTCTTCTCTAAATCATCCTCCTCCACAAAATGATATTGAAAATCGTTATCAACACATGAAAACTCGTCCAGAGCAATTGCTAATTTAAATTGCGTACATTTTTTAGTTGGAATATGAATTTTCTGTTAATTTTTACATTGGCTAGGGTATTGAATTATGAAAATGTCAATTTGTGGTTTTCATTATGTTTAACACCTTGAAATTGGTTTTATAGATTAATTTATGCCAAAAAATTAGTTAATTACTGGATATTCTTTTGTGTAATTTGCTAGGTTGTGATGCTAATACTTAACTGCTAACAAACAATGAAACTCATTACTAGTAATTTGGGTTTTTCCTTGCACGCAATTGAAACTTTTCAGATTATTTGAGATTTATATTTTGACCTTGTGTGATAATGGCTCAACTTAACTACTCTTGAATCGGTTAAAGTGTTAGTACTTTAGTGTTTGGTTTGCAATTGAAACTTTGCAAACTACTTGAGCCGTTAAGTTTCAAGTCGAAAGAGCTTGTTCCGGATTTTGATTTGCTACAATGTGTTCTTAGCTCTGAACATTTTCTTGTAATTTTTTATTTCCATTTTGAATTGCAAACTTCTTGGCATATATTTATATGATATATGTTACGGTTGAGATCCAATAGGAACCTGATTTCCTGGCCAAAACTTCAATGTGGATTTTTCTTTGGCTTTGTAAATCTAGATAAGTGAGAACCACTGGTTTAGACCCAAAAATCAGGTGCCACTTATAAAATGTTGTCAGCTTCTAAACGTTTAGGTATATGCATGTTCATAATGTGTTGTATTATTCATTGCAGATCACCATGGGCCAGCAAAGGTAAACTATTGTCAAGAACCAAGGAATCCTACTAATTGGGAGGAAAAACATGTGAGTACCTAATGTGGTGCATTATATATACCTTTACCGTGTTTTTATAATACCAAGCCTACAGTGATATTTAGTGTAGCTGAAATATAAATATTATTATATTATGCTATGTTGATAGTTTTGCTCTGATTCTTCAGTTTTACATGTTAATTAGTTAATGATAGGTTGTTAGCTAATTTTTTTTAAAAATGACTTAACATAGAAGGTATTAGATAAGCTTATATTTATTTTTGATTTCATTTTGTGGGACAATCAGAATTTATCCTAGCTAGGATTGTAAACTCTTGAGTCTCTTAGGATATAGCTATTTTTTTTAATGTTGAGCATTGAAATCTCAGTTATTAAGGATTAATGTATTCTTACTTTAATGTTAAAAAGAGAATTTTGTACTCTTTGTTCTTAGAAAAATGTAATGGTACTTTGTCTTTACTTACATAAATGCATTTTCATTGTAGAGGTTAGATGATCCAGTATATACTCAGAAATCGAATATTTAGTACCTTACATTTATTAAATTGACAAATTAAGATCGTTTAGTTATGATTTGTAGTTTCTTACCTTGCAGTTCTTTCCATCAAGACTTTGTGGGTTATATATGCTCTCGAGCCTTAAACAAATGATGCTACTGAAAAGAATGAAGACGTATGGACATTCCTTAATGAGGGGGTTGTCGTAACATTTTGTACAAAAATGGAGTTTTGTAGAAGTTTTTGTGTAGTGTTTTAGATGGTAAAATCAAAATTATTGAATGTAAGTTTGTTAGTTGACTTGGTTTATTATTAATAACACTATGTCAATTTTTTTTTTGGACTATTAACATGTAGTAGCGGATAAATTAATTTATACAAATACATCTACATATAAATATATACAGGTATAGGCGCATAACCGTATGGGTACATTATAGCACGTTTATTAATGAGCCAAGCCACGTCATCAAAATTAGCCAAATTTTATTTTAAAAAAGCAAAGATGAGAGACCTGTTATCATACTTAACGGATCTCTTATATACAAAAAAGAGACATGTTAGGTAAGAAAACAGGTCTCTTTGCCTTCTAAAATTTATAGAGTTAGTACAACGAAAGAGACCTATTATCTTACTCAACAGGTCTCTTATTTATCACAAAGAGACCTGTTCTATTTACCAGGTCTCTTTATCAAAGAGACCTGTGAGCTAGAGACCTCCTCTAAAGAGGTCTCTTTGGCCAATTTTAACAAGTCTCTTAGGCTTTTTTTTGTAGTAGTGGATCTCAATATGATGATTTCTAAGTATTTATGGGGCTTTAAGAGCTTAGGTATGCCCTCGCCTTTAGACTTAACATGCCTTAGACAATTTTGGACTGCATATAATTTATTCGTCCGTCCAATTTTTGTGGACTGATGGATTTAGTCCTTAGGGCCTTATGGGGTTAGGATATCGGTCATAGGGGCCAAGTACCTCCATAGTCTTACCCTTTTTCTTTGGCTGGGTTACTTAGCTAGGAGAAACCTTGTTATCCTTTTTTTCCCGGCCAAGTTGCTATATTGTGAGCAACCATAGGTTTCATTTTACACGGCGCTTTTGCTCATCATTTGTTGTTCGAACACATCATAATTCCGAAAAAAAAAAACTAAAAGTGGAAAATTAGGTAACAATGGATGACATTTCATTAATTATGTTAAAATTACATTGTTTGGCCGTATAACTTCAATTACATGGCTTGGTCGCTAGGCCTAGTTGTATTTTCAACTTTTTGCTAAGTTCAAAAACTTTATATATAGTTTTTTTTGAGGTTGTCCGTATTCCACGTACGAGGAATAAAATGGCCACCTAAGGCTTCAAAACGATAAGTATTGTCTCGTATTTCTTCACCAACACGGTAGGGTCCCTTCCAAGTAAGGTTCGCTTGCCATCTTCTTTTGTTCGGCCCACCGCTTCCATTTTTCTAAATACCAGGTCCCCCATCTTAAGCGGTCGCTTAGACAATTTCCTGTCGTAAGACCTCGTGATCCTTAGACGGTATATTTCATGTCTAAGCGCCCCATTGCCCCTAGCTTACGGAAGGAAGTCTAAGGAAGTCTTCATGGCCTCCTAATAGGCCGACTCATCATATAGCATCACTCATAGAGTGAGCTTGTACATTTCAATGGGGAGCACGACTTCAGCACCATAAAAAATAAAGAATGGGGTTTCGCATGTAGAACCTTTCACTATTGTTCGAATGGACCATAACACATTAATCAATTCGTCAGCCCGTAGGCCGCCTGCTTTTTCAAGCTTTCGCTTGATGTCATTGGAGATCAACTTGTTATAGGCCTCAACCTGACCATTGGAATTTTGGCCGGTTGACCGAAGCAAAGCAGTGTGATATGCCCTAGTCGCTAAGCCAATCTCTAAGATGGTCGGCTTCGAACTGTGGCCCATTATCGAACACCATAGACTTTGGAACGCTAAAGCGCATGATTATGTTCTTCCAGATGAAGGCAGACACATCTTTCCATTTGATGCCTCGGACGGCCTCTGCCTTTACCCACTTAGGGAAGTAGTAAACTGCTACCAACACACACTAGTAGAAAAATTGAAAAAGGCACCCCCCCTTTTCGCACTGGTTCTTAAAAACCGGTGGGGAAAAGAAATGGGCAGGATTTGGATAATTACTTTTTGCACCGGTTCCTTATAAACCGGTGCCAAATCTTAGTTTTTGCACCGGTTTGAACCGGTGCTAAATGTTTTATTAAAAAAAATAATAATAAAAAGAAGGAAAAACGGATTACGCAGCGGTTCAGCATAAACTGGTGGGAAAAGTATATTTAAAACCGGTTCGAACTGGTGCGGAAATTCATTCATGAACTCTTCTTCTTCCTTAAGTTTATTTCATACCCGTGATTTTCCACCTTCAATTATTCCTTCTCTCGTTGTCGCCTACCTTCACCATTGCTCTCCTTCACGCATAGCTCCGAATTTACACCATAGTTGTCCTCCATTGAAGCGCATTCTGGGCTTTCTTACCTCCATTGTCGTGCAACTCCTTTCTTTCTCTCCTTTTCACTGTTCCATTGAAGCGCATTCTGCTGAGCTTTCTCATCTCCATTGAAGCGCAGTCTGAGCTTTCCAACTCCATTGTAGCAGCTTCGAGGTAAGATTTATTTCGTGGTCTCCTAATCGTTTGAATACCTTCGCAATCTAGGGTTAGTCATTGATTTAGGGTTTTCTGTTCTTTGTGGTTTGCTGTTGTAACTTTAGTCTTGGCTTAGGTGTCCATTTTTGCTAAGAGCATTCGTCTTTTACAGTGGCTGTAGAAGTACACATTGATCAAAGAACAGGTATATGATGCTGCACATGTACATCAACTCACAATTTTAAAGAATATGCAACACTAAAGTGACTTATTAATTTGTGAAAAGAATAAAAACTCTAAGTAGTTAGTCTTGTCTCTTCTATGTTTTTTCTAGAAGTAATGTGCAATAAATGTTAGTTCTTCCTTCTGTCCCTTAGCCTTACAAGTCATCTCAATCAATGATACTTGAAGTGCTTTGGATTTTAGGTTCCATCCAGGTATAATAGAAAGGGGGGAGGGGTGGGATTGAATTTGTGGCGGAATTGGAGTTTTTTTTTCTAAAATCTTGAGAAATTTCAACTTGCTTATACCTAATTTGTTAATGGTATGTCCCATACTGAAAGTAAATACTTTTTGAGTGTTTTTGATACAACGTGCTGCTTCAGCAGTCTGCGTGATACATCCATTAATATTTTGTTATCATGCATGCAAAGCACTTACTTGAGATTGATTCTCCATTTCAAGTAGGGTGGTTATGCCCCGAGAAAATCTCCACTACTAGAATCTTAGGCAACTACCCTGACGTGTTATACTATGTTGAACGGGGTATCAAGGAATCATTGTGTGCGGGTGACAAGTTCATATTCGCCCCATGTTTTGAGGAGTACGTTTGACCATGTCAAATTCATTTGTTTTCCCTATTTATATGTTGTACACGGCTAATTATTGATTTGTTTGTGTATTGTGAGTTTATGTAGTGCACGTTGGACCATGCTGGTGATTTGTGTTTCCAGTAACACCATCTTCCTTTTTGATTCAGCTTGATTGCCTCATCTGAAAAAGCTCCTTGTGAAGTCTATACTGCGAAAGTAAAACAAGCTATCTAGTGTTGATTATCATTACCTAACTTATTTATTTTATTAGTCATACTAATCAAGTTTGAACTTACTTTTCTATTGTGTTATGAAGAAGATATTTGTCGAGCTCCTCAAGGTCCCACATGGAAATCACCGATGGTAATGCTACATGATTATTGACTTTCATAATAAACAATGCGTAAGATGTTGCTAATTTGTTATGCATGTTTGATTCATGTACTGTGTTCCTATGCTAGTGTGCACAACAAGATAACGGAGTTGATTGCGGACTACGTGATGAGATTCATGTTCGACATACTGAGTCGTTGTACAGACGCACAACAGCTTGATGAGATATGCCATTTACTTAGTTAATTTTCTTTTGTCGTGTGTTTTGATAAGAAATGTACAAAATAGGCATCCAAGTAGTCATATAGGTCTTATTCGGGCCATTTTGGATGAAAATGCGTCTTAAAACCCTTGACTTGCTCCTTTAATGTGATTTCAAGCCTTAGCCGACTATAACTAGGAAATAATGACATGTTAATAGGAAGAATGAGCTGATTTGATAAGAAATGTAGAAAATAGGCATCCAAGTAGTCATATAGGCCTTATTCGGGCCATTTTGAATGAAATTGCGTCCTAAAACCCTTGACTTGCTCCTTTAATGCGATTTCAAGCCTTAGTTGCCTCTAACTAGGTAATAATGATATGTTAAGAGGAAGAATGAGCTCATTTCATAAGAAATGTAGAAATTAGGCATCCAAGTAGTCATATAGGCCTTATTCGGGCCATTTTAGATAAAATTGCATCCTAAAACCCTTGACTTGCTCCTTTAATGCGATTTCAAGCCTTAGCCGACTATAAATAGGTAGATATGACATGTTAAGAGGAAGAATGAGCTCTTTAGATAAGAAATTTAGAAAATAGGCATCCAATTAGTCTTATAAGCCTTATTTTGGCCATTTTGAATGAAATTGCATCCTAAAATCCTTGATTTGCTCCTTTAATGCAATTTCTATAGGGTTTCGTAGTGACCTGAGACTATGCGGAAGGAAACCCACCAAGACCCGCCCCTTATTTTAAATAATTAACAAGCATATTAAACTTAATCAAACAAGATTAAGAACAAGAATTATACCTTTGTCGCGTGCTTCACTCCCAAAGAGACCTTACTTCAAAATCCCGAAAACATGAGATCTCCGACGGATCGTACCCTTGACCCGACCCGAGCGTCCTAAGTCTTGAAGGTTAGTTAAGACCCGAACAAAATAACTACGAATTTTACGAATCAAAGAATTACTCTTAATTAGAGTTGCCTTTTTAATTCTACTCAAGGTTATTCATTTCCCAACACCCTTGAAGGGTATTTATAAGGAAATGAATCCTTGGTTTCCTATCTCCCATCAATGTGGGAGAGTTGGTGAAATGATAATTATTTAATTCCAAAATTAAATGATTAATCAATTTAATCACAAAACGACACATGGCACAATAATAGAGAAAACCAAGTGAGGACCAAAGGCTTGGGGGGACCATTGCCTTGATCCCCAAGCCATTGCTCCAAGAAATGGTCCCCACTTGCAAAACCGGCTCCAGCAAGGCCTGCTGGGCTGCTCCCAGCTAGCACGCCATCTAGCATTGCCAGCTAGCCCAGCCAGCTAGCATCACCCTTCCTAGCAGCTCCCTCGCATGCACAGCACGCCCAGCGCTGCTGCTC